AGTCTGGCCACCTCATTAAATATGGATGATAGACCTTCCCTTGCGGATCTACGTGTTGTCCTGCTCTTACTACCATTCCTTCTACTGGCGTCACATAGACCAATGGAGCTTCGTGTGGATATGCGTGAGGTATCCATAATGCGATTGGGAATCTGTAGGTTGTGCCACGAAAATTCACAGGTAGGGTGCCCGAAAGATGAAGGAGGAGAGAGGATGCGCCATTCTCGTATGCTATTTAGCTTGCGCATTAGTATTTGAGTTGATCGCATAATCTGCAAGCATATTCACGTACTGTGAACATCCGTTCGTGGGGATAATGAGGTATATTGAGAGAGCGTTTGGGCGACGTCATTATATGTGCGATTTACATCTCGATATTCCTGATGTTGAATGTCAGTGTGAGTAAACGTGTATAGACGTGGCGGGTAGATTTACATACGCTTGTAAGAACACTGTACAGCCAGTTCAGGACTCGTTGTTGAACACCGGCCATTATGATAAATGAGCTTCAGATGCAGCCAGCTAGCTAGCTCGATATTGATATTGAAGCTGTTCAGAACGCGATGATGACTGGATAGGTGGGGGTGGAGCTTAGCTATAAAGTATCATGTGATAGATAGATTAGATGGATGTGTAAGTTCAATATGGATGGTATCATGGTAGGGTCGGTAGGGTTGGTAGGGTTGTGTGTGTGGGTCGCAGCGACTTTGAAACATTCAACTCGGGCCCTACAACAGTCAAATTGACAGTCAGACTCGCATATCAAACTAATCATGTATCAACTATTAAATATCAAATCCAAAATATGTCTGATCGGGCGGCTCCGCTATAAATCATGTTTATTGTTTACTATATAGATGATTATTAATTGATTTGTATTTTATTGTAATATTAAAATGATTAACGTAATTCATATATAAGTAAATTATATTACCGAATGAATTACTTAAAAAATACATTAAAATTAGTCATTTGTAATATTCTTATTTTAATAACTAATTATTATTTTTTAAAGAAAAAATTATAATAAATTATAATAAAAATGAAATATTTATAAAATTTAGTTTTTTTTAAAAACAATTCATTTTAGCTTGAAATTATTACATTTTATATTATAAAAACTCTTTTTCTTTAATAATTTTAATAATAATTAGATTTTTTAAATAAGATTAGATTTTTAAAATAATTAAAAAATTAAATTTTATATAAGAAAATTTCGAACAATTCTATTAACTAATAAAGAAAGTATATAATTATATATAAACGAATTATATATATAAATCAAGTAATTTATTTAGTAATATAATTCACTCGTATATAAACTACGTCATTATTATTATTATTATTATTATTATTATTATTATTATTATTATTATAAGTATAATTATAAGTATAATTATAAGTATAATTATAATATATAATTCAATGAAATTCATTAATAATAGATGTTTTCATTCGACTTTACCTCTTAAATGTCTACTAAAGGTCCCAGGCATATAATCTAAATGCCGACAAGGAAGAAATAGGAAAGGAAAGAGAAGACAGGATAAGAAAAGAAAAGAAAAGAAAAACTCTTTGACATCTGCTATGATGCCATGTACCAGAACCATGACCATGACAAACAATCTTCTCTTGAAGGCGAATGATTAGTCTTTATGAGCCGATACCGATACCGCTAATTTTGGCCCAGTTCTTAGACCACCTGCCCCTCCCTCTCTTTACTATATATAGGAGGGGCAATTTTGCCCTCTAAAAAAAAGGATTTCTGGTAAAAGTTTCGGAAACATTTTATCATCCAACATCATTTCAGTACCTTTTTGGCTCCCAAATTATATTTGCAGTTCATATGCAAAGCAACTACAAAGACTATCGAAAAGGCTGAGGAGTATTGGACAAAAGTTCCTATACTCCTTGCGTCAGGACAGATACTTTGAACCTATCTATCTTTTTTCCCCAATCAGACCATGCTTCCTCCACTTCCCAAACTCAGCAAATACGGAATCTCTCTAGAATATGGATTTCTTCCGGCTGATTTACCTCTCGAACGACTTCCCGATCCATACTACAACAAATGGGAGGCGATTAACGCAAACCTTCAAGGTTTGATATTGAGCAAACGCCTGCGCGGTGTTATTGATCGTCTGCCAGTTCTTTCGACTGCCGGTCTGGAACATGATTCGGAATGGCGAAGAGCATATTCGTTGTTATGTTTTATGGCGCACAGCTATATCTGGGGTGGTGATAGCCCTGAAGAGGTTTGTACAACTCTTTCCGTCGATCAGAAAGCCTGGTTTGGAAATCTTGTGCTGATTATTTGTGCTATCTACAGACCCTGCCGCCATCCATTACTGTCCCTCTTTTACACATTTCAAACTACTTGGAAGTACCACCAGTCGCCACATATGCTGCCGTCTGTCTCTGGAACTTTAAACCATTGTTTGCAGATGAACATGTCGACAATCTGGAGAATCTTGCCACTCTAACCACATTTACTGGCTCTATCGACGAGTCTTGGTTTTATCTGGTTTCAGTGGCAATCGAAGCTCGCGCTGCTCCCGTTCTTCCACTCATGCTTACAGCAATTGAGGCGGCTCGTAAGAATGATAGCAGGACTGTCACATCCTGTCTTCGAACCTTTGCGGAGAGAATCGATGATCTTGGAACACTTCTTCAACGCATGCATGAAAGCTGCGATCCTCATGTGTTCTATAATCGAATTCGTCCTTTCCTCGCTGGCAGCAAGAATATGGAAGAAGCTGGATTACCAAATGGAGTTTTCTATGATGAGGGTAATGGAGTCGGTCAATATCGTCAATTCTCTGGGGGTAGTAATGCTCAAAGCTCCATTCTTCAATTCTTCGACATTGTTCTAGGAATAGAACATCGACCCACGGGTGAGAAGAAGGATGCCACATCAGAGAGTGAAGCTGAAGGCGCAGCCCCCCGAACCAAGCATAACTTTCTTCTCGAAATGAGAAAATACATGCCAGGACCTCATCAACGATTTCTCGAAGATATGACCGTCGTGTCCAATGTTCGCGGTTACGTCGAAGCGCATACCGATAACCATGAACTCTGTCTCGCCTACGATGCTTGTCTCGCCATGTTGCGCACATTCCGCGATAAACACATCGCTATTGTCACACGTTACATCGTCATCAAATCCCGTGAATCTCACTCTCATTCCCGTTCCATGAGTCCCGAAGCAACTCGTAGCCGAAAGGTAGATATTGCAACGGCGTCTCGTGGAAAAGGTGATGATGAAGAGAAGAAGAGGAAGTTGAAGGGGACGGGTGGTACGGCGCTCATCCCCTTTCTAAAACAAGCGAGAGATGAAACTGGAGAGCCAACAATTGATTCTTGGGCAAGAAGAGTCATGAATAGAGATTTGAACACCATGGGTAAAGGGGATTTCTTTGTGGGAAAATTGGACGAACAACCTGATGGAGGATTGGAATTGGGTGGATTGGCTGGAACATGGACTTTGGACGATGAGGTTGGTGGATTGTGTAGTTATTAAGCCGATGTATGTGTTACTTATCACAGCATGGCTTTTCACTTGAACATACTTAGCATGCCTTTGTTATTATTTACGGAGATATCTATCTAGACACTTAAAGAGATGTCTGTAATGGGCGGTAACTGTTTGGAAAAACTGAGATGAGCTACTAAGCGTTATATTCAATTGTTACTCCTTTTATATGGTTGAATTAATTTTCATTGCTGGTTTGATGTTGAGTTTTGAGAATACAATATTTATGTGATATGTATCTCTAGGTGAATGAATGGAAGTTAATATCAACTAATTTCTATCAAAATATATAGAGTTGCGTTGTATGTAGGTATGTATATAAACTATATTGCTTGGAATCGATTGGAATGGCATGACATGGGATACATGAAACAAGATGAAATAAGATGAAATCAGATAAGAAATATATTGATTTGAGATGATAAAAGAATTGTGTTAAGGCTAGGTATGGAAGATTGGATCAGATTCGATTTGAAATATAGAAAGATGGTAATGGGTGGTGGGATGAAAGAAAAGAAATTGAACGGGATTTGATGATATACAATTGATAAAACTCGCAAAATCAATCTCTTACCTAATTTTTTAATATCTAATAGATAGAAATGTATAATTAATAATTACGATTAGAGGGGTAATGTATTGAATATCTAGATGGGGTAGGTAGTAATAAGATGATAGGTATTAGTATTGATGTTGATGTTGATGTTGATGTTGATGTTGATGTTGATGTTGATGTTGATGTTGATGTTGATGTTGATGTTGATGTTGATGTTGATGTTGATGTTGATGTTGATGTTGATGTTGATGTTGATATTGATATAAGTATTTTGCTGATAGAAGAGAGATATTTTCTATCTATCTATCTACCTATCTAGGTATCAATCTACTGATTGATGGGATTTTTGTTTAGAGGTAGGGGTAGAGGTAGAGGCGAGTAGATAGTAGGAGGGAGGAATATTGATATTTGAGATGAGAGGAATATACATAGACTGGTAGGTAAATAGATAGATAGATACACTAAATAAATAAGAAAATTTTCACAATAACGATGATTCTTTTTGAAATAAGAGTGTGTGTCAATTTGATTTCGTAGATGGTTTGAGTGCTGTCTTGATATGTAGAAATAAATGATGCGTATATTGTTGATATTGATATTGATATTGATATTGATGTGATATAAATAGATACTTAGTAGATATATTGCTAGATATATAGATATGTATATACAAAAGCCCCAAAGCTCAAACCCAAAGCTCAAACCATCCATATAAGAAACGCCGGAATCGAATTTGATATTCAGGGATCATGACGCCGATAAATGTATATATAATATGTTCCTTCAGATAAACAGGCTTCTTTTCTCTCTCTCTCTCTCCTTCCTCCCTCCCCCCTCTCACCTCTCACCTCTCACCTCTCACCTCTCACCTCCCCCCTCCCCCCTCTCACCTCTCACCTCTCACCTCTCACCTCTCACCTCTCACCTCTCACCTCTCACCTCTCACCTCTCACCTCTCACCTCTCACCTCTCACCTCTCACCTCTCACCTCTCACCTCTCACCTCTCACCTCTCACCTCTCACCTCACCTCCCCGATCCCTCCCCGAACCTCCTCCTCATGTTCCGGAATCCTCCCCAAAGAAATCATCGATCCCCTCTTCGAACACGGCGGACAAACCCCCCTCTTCTTTTTCATTTTCCCATACCCATTTCCATTCCCATTTCCATACCTACCATGTTTCCCATGCTGCGAGCTCGGTCTCGATTTCATATGTGCATAAGGAGGGAAAGGAAATGCAGCGTTATGGTGCATATTCATCATGTTATTATTATTGGGGATAGTGGTTGGCCAATTGCGAGCGCGCGAAGAGGGGTTTTGCCAGACTCGTGGGTTGGTGGTTGAGGGTCTGGGGGGTGGAGATTGTGGGTTTGGCCCGGTTTTGTTTGGGTTTGGGCTTTTGATGGTGGTGATGATGTGGTTTTTGGTATTAATTCTGGGATTGGTGGTAGGGTAGGAATGTCGTTTCGTGGGAATGGTGTTATTGGGATGTTCGGAGGTGTTATCTTTTCGACCCCGCTTTCCTCGAGAATAGAATGAAATCCTTGGGTTCTGCATTGCATCGACACTGTTAGATTCCTTCTTTTCCTTCTCCGGCTCTTGTTTCTCCTCCTCAATATTCCCATTGCCTTCATGCTTATCCTTATCCTTATTCTCAGCATCAACATCAACATCAGAATCAACATCAACACTCAATACCACTCCTTCATCTACAACCCCTTCCTGAAGTTTTCCCCACATCTTCGGATTCAACTCTTCTTTTTTAATCCCATAAATTTCCATCATTCGAAAAACGAGTTTGCGAGGGAGCGTATCAGCTTTTCGATTCATACAACCGATAAGCCATTTTTTCACCTCGGGCGCTTCGTTTGACTTGGGGATGTCATATTTTAGAGGAGTTGGTGGAAAGGGGGGCATGAGAAGGGATGGATCGAAGCTGGAGGTGGATTTCAAGGACAGGGATGAGATATGTGATGATGTACTAGATATAGAGCAAGAGTCTGGTGGGATGTTGGAATCTGGGGTTGGGGATGTAACGATGATTGTGATGGAATTGTTGGAAGCGTTTTTGTGGGTGTTGAGTAGAGGTAGAGGTTCTTTAATTGCGTGTGGAGAGGTTGTTTTTGGATCTTTACGGCTTTCCGTTCGATTGCAAAGGCTGGTCTGTTTAATAGCGATAGGTTCACAGTCTTCCGATTTTCTGCTCGACAAACTATACCAAGACTTCCTTTTGCTTGAGATGCTGGTTTTTCGGGATGGTCCCGTGGAAGTTTTAGTTCCAGATATTCCCATCGCCGATCCATTGGCGATATTCTTTTGAGCATCGACGGTACATTGTGATGATAACTCCATTGACCGTAAAGTTTCCTTCAGGATCGAACCCTTAAGTTGCCCAGATACGCTGCTGCCATCTTTGAGATCATCAATGCTAACTTTATTATCCTTCACTCTGTTGGATGTTAGTATCAAGCATGAAAGTGATTGAAAAATTTCCAAGAGTTGATCACATACTTTTCCTTCCTGCCAATTGATAGCCACTTTAGGTACTTCATGTGTCCAAATAGAACGAGTAGTAGATATTCAAGACTTTCCAATCCTATCGGCCTTTATACTCGAGGTGTTGATAACACTTATCATAAACTACCTTCGTATACAGCGACGTTGTTGATGAAAATGGTGTACTTCATCATTCAGCACATCCAGGGAATAATGAGTATAAATTGAGGTCGTATGCAACGTTCGATTTCATGAGCGACTTTCGATATATCCTAAATCGAATCTATATTCGGAGCTGAAATTTGAGATAAGAAAATCCGAGAGACTAATGTACGACGGGAATAGATATGCCCTGCAGGGGATACGCGTAGCGAGGTGTAAAATAGCCTGTTCAGGGCAATATTCCTGGAAGAGCTGAAGAATTCTCTCCCTTCCGGCAACCAGGTCACAATTTAGTGTAATGGATCGGAAGCTTTGACGTGGCACTAGAACGAAGTCTTTTTGAAATCAATTTTCTGAATGAAGAGTATCTTATACTCTTATACTCTCAATGGAAGTGAAATAAGTGGAGCTAGTTCGGACGTTTTTGATGGCGTGTGGTAGTGACTTGGCACAGCTGGAATCTCTGCATGATTATTGATCTTTGGTCGATCAAGAAAGGAAGTAGAAAGTGTAGGGGATGGTGGTGTCAGAGGTAGTTTCATCATGCCACTATGGAATGAATTAGCAGGTCCTAAGTTTTGGGGGTCCAGCGATTGACGCCGCACGTTAACAGCACATACTTTGACAAGTCTCCCATATCGGCCAGCATGACATTGCAGGTGGCGTTATGATCGTTTTGATGATAAGATAGCTCATCAATTTTCCTGCAAGTATCCTTGAGCTAGTTCCCAAAAATAGTCGAGAATGAGCAATTGGTCAAACTCACGCTGATAACATGGCAAGTTGGATTTGAAAGATCCTTATGCTCTCGGTTTTCCTCTCATCGATATCTCTTTGGATACGAGCTCTTGATCCCATCCAAGTAGCCTTTCTTTTCACTCTGGACATCCTACCATATCCATCACCCTTAGTTACGAATTCGGCACTCGTCCTTAAATCTCTGTCCATGATTCTCATCCGTTCTAATGATTGGACATAAAGTCCCTGAAAATACTTGAAATCGCCAGCACCATATTTTCGATCTGGTTGACGAATGAGTGAAGCTAAATATGCATTATTCAACATATCAGTCTCCGTTTCGAGAAGACATATTTTATCTAATGCACTAGATATTTCGGCTTGTGTATCAACGGCATCACGAAGACCGAGAGCATGTGCATAGAAAGCAGCAATGACAGCTGCAACAAAGGTAAGCAAACCTGTGATACTAGCAGCAATTGATAATGGACTATCGGACATGATCTCCAAAGGAAGTGGTCCGAAAAAGCGGCCTGGTTTCGACTTTGACCAAGAAAAAAGATGATTGCAACATTCGATTGAAGATGATGGGATAGGGTATCTCTCAGTCTGATATCTGAATCAATATTAGGCAACAGATGCAGAATTCAAGGGTACACAGCTGGAAGCACAGCCACTCATCGGGATATTTTCAATAAATGCAGGTACAACCAATTGGGAAGGAAGTGGATGTAATCCCATCCCCATCATGATAAGCTTAAAGGATTAGATGAATGGCGGGAAATCTCCTCCCCTCATCCATCCCCTCATCTTGGTTTGTTCAACAACGTTGTGAAACTTTTCAGACGTTATGTTATGCTTGATAGGTATCGAGAGTGACACGACATTTAATTTGTAAGTTTACCTGGGTGTGAACTCCAATCACTCATCTCATAATTGAATGATATATTGAGGCCGCAAAAGAGCTCACCGGTCGGATCATTTCCATGCATGCCTATTCGTCTACGTACCGGAGAGCGATCGACTGTCCTCTGTAGCACCAAACGCAACTCGAAAATCTTTCTTATTCTTAGATAAAATGTGTAACAGCAATGCTTTGCGGGAGTTGTACTTTTTCCCCCTGATTTCCTTGCTTTTCCCGATTTTACTTATTATTCGTAGGATCGTAGGCTGAAGCAGATCTCATCCATCTTCTTCTTGAACCATGTCTGTTGGGCAAAGTAATAAGTGTATGATGATAAAACTTCACGAAGCGCCATAGTTTTTCTTCTTCGTTTCTCTGCTTCATCCTATTCGTAGATTGAACCGTTCATCCTCTCCCATGTCTGCCGTACATCATGTATCTGTTCTGTTGTATTGATCTGCCCATATATACGAAGAAAAAGAAAGAGAAGGAGAAGTATACCGAGTAGTTATAATAAGATATTGCAGATATTACAGATATCACTCCAACTTTTGTGCCACATTTGTCACCATCTACCCACTCAGTGGCACCAGTGACCTACCGGTGAACCCTATAATTTCCAAATTAAAACATACCACCGATGAGCACGTCCAACAGCTCCAGTATATCAAGATCTATTTCGTGCTAAGAGACGCTCCGTTATTCAAGTTTTATTCAATCTGATAACCTTATTCGTTGACGCCCAGGTGCATCATCCACAATTACGTCGTCTTCTCCAATCAAACTTGATTAGTATGAAGCTCAACGAGAGAATGGAAGGAAGCTATCCACGGCTGGCGGTCCTTGAAACCAGTCTGAGACCTGACACAGATATTCTGATACTCTGACACGTAGGAGGATTCAAAGGACTAATAGCAAAAAATATATGACAGAATACAGATTCCATAAAAGAGTTTATGTATACGAAAGTACAAATCCCGACGACGGGTATATTCACTTTACTCATCATAGTTGAAATCCGAGCCAACCCAAAGGTCTAAGCCTCGACAAAATTAAACGATCGTGAATCAGTGACGAAGACAAATCCGAAGAACCGGCGCAAACGAATCGAATGAAATTATGGTCATCTTGTCTAATACACCCACTGCGAATCGAGTTTCTATTAATTCTACCACAGAGAAAGACCTGAATGAAAAGACATTCGACGATTCAGCTCATACAATAATCATGGATCGTCCACATGCTACACCTCCAAAAACCTCAATAGATACTTCATTCGATGGCGTCGATCCTTCTGTGGAATTTGTTGGGGACCTCAATACTAATAATGATGTACCCTCCCAAGAGGTGCTGAAGAAGGTTGAAAGTATGATCGTCTTAGATAGGGATGGCAAAACTAGGCCTTTCAAAAGTCTATACTCAGGCCCGAATGTAGCAAGAAGAGTTTTGGTTATATTCATCCGTCATTTCTTTTGCGGAGTAAGCTGTCTCTCTACTATCGCCCTAGCTGTATAGTTCAACTCAAACCTAACATTTACGTTTCTACTAGAACTGCCAAGAATACCTTCGAACCCTCACAGCATCCATCACCGAAGACTCCCTCCTCCAACTCCATACACCCACTTTTATCGCCGTCGTTGGTTGCGGCAGTCCATCTCTAATCCCCATGTACCAAGAAGTCACAAATTGTCCATTTCCAATATATGCGGATCCTACAAAGAAGTTATACGATGAGTTAGGAATGATGCGCACATTGAATCTCGGCACCAGACCAGAATATCAGCGCAGAGGTACTCTTATGGGGATTGGACAGAGCGTACTACAAAGTCTCAAGCAAATCAAAGGCGGCAAATTGTTTCAAGGAGGTGATTACCAACAAGTTGGCGGAGAATTCCTCTTCGAGCCAGTGCGAATGGCCACTCCGATCACTTCACCTGCTGACGGGCCCGTTGGTATGCATGCGAGCGGTGGGATTTTGGGAAATGGTGATAAGATAGGAGAAAGTGAAGGCTATGAAGAGAAGAGAATCACCTGGTGTCACAGGATGAAAAACACCAGAGATCATGCCGAAATCCCAGAGATCAGAGAAGTCCTCGGATTCGATGAGATGGTCGAGGGCGGAAAGAACCAGAAGAGGTGGTCCAAAGCGTTGAGCGAGAGAAAAGGTACCGGGGTGAGCATTGGGGCTAGAAGTAGTAGAGGAACGAGTCTGAAGCTAGAAGGAATGAGTGAGGACGGTGGCAGTGTGCGGAGCAAGGAAGCAATTGGTGGAAAGCCAACCTAAACGGCAGATGATGTCAACTAATAACGAGAGTAACTGGCATGCATGGGTCAAGTGAGCGGCCATGGAGTTTGGTTGGTATATCCTTGGGGATTATCTTAGCGAAGGGATTGATACATGGGGGAGTTCTTTTTTGCAATCTTTGCTGTCTGAAAGCTTGTCGTTCTTGTTTCTATACCCAATTCCTAAATATTTCCTTGGAATACTGGCTCTTTCACAATCACACTTAGGTTTTTTGTTTGACATTGCATTCCACTCTGCTCCTATTGGTCAACTTGTGCAAGTCCAAAAGTTTTGTTGCATATCTGATTCCAATCCCTTGTTGCCTTTTGTCTCAAAAGGCAGTAAGCAAGTGACCTAGTTGTAATGCAATACCAAGGTATCCAGTTACCAGTACAATTGGCCATCATCCATCATTCCGTTTCCATTCACCCCATATCTCATGGGACAATGTCAGATCGGAATAATCTATGTGACCATAACTGCATTCTATACTCGTTTCACATTCTTCTCCTAATAGTAATTCTGGTTTTTATTTCTTCTAATTCTAATTTCTATGGATTTTAGCTCATCATCATCTATTCTCTCCTTCTACCGCTATTTTCATTTCCTACTTAACCAGCACAGTGCAAGGATATCCTACTCATGTTCCGCACCCTCTCATCCACACTCATAATCCATTCTACTAACCAGTTCCCCCAAACTAAAATGCCTCGAAGCATCTACACAAATTCTTCCTTTCTTCATCCATTCGCAAACACCTAATAGTATTCTCTCAATCTATTCTCCTTTCCTAGTCATTTCCTCCTCTCCAACTTCCTCCCTCTACTCCTCTCTCTTTCTCCAACTCTCTCCCTATCCCGACAAATCTCCACCATCCTCTTTATTTCCACCGCCCTCAACGGTTTCGGTTCCGACAATCCACATTCCGCTTCTTTAACCACCATTATATCTCTTTTCTCACTCTCATCTCTTCCATCCTCCCCTCTTCCAACTTTCCCACCAGCTTCCTTCCCCCTCACTCTAACACTCACACTGATCCCCTTCCCCCCTCTCAAGCCATCAATTCTTTTCTCCTTTTCCCCCCATCCCACCAACCCATCAAGGTCTTCATCTCTCCACCCTCCCTTCTCCCCAAGTTCCCGTTCCACCTCATCCCAATCAATACTTTGACTCCCATCTCTACCCATATGCATTCTTGCATCTCTCAATCCTCTTTTGAGAGGTAAATGCGCTAATGCATCTCCATCCCGATCCCCACCACCCCCCGGGGAAAAGTCATTCCATTGACCAACCACACGGCCTCTACTTCCTTTTCTCGGTCCTCTGCTCCCTGGCCTCTCTCTTGATTTTGCCGGCGCGGGTGATGAAGATACTTCAACAATTTGGATACCAACATCCTCCTGTTTATCTTTTACTGGCCCCTCCTTTTCTTTTCCCTTGTTCTTCCCTTTCCCCTTCCATCCGTCATTCGCCACAATAGCCATTGGAAAAACCGGATTGATTCTCCCCTTCCTCGCTTCCCCATCCTCATCTCCATCTCTCCGTGGACTACTCTCGAATTTCTCTTTCCTCCCTTCAATCAGCGTCTTTGTTCTCATTCCTGTTCTACCACCACCACTGCCAACCGCAAGTCTCCCTTGCCCACTCTCCCCATCCTGTTTTTCCTTCCCAGGACTAAGAACAATACTCTCATCATTCTTCTCCTTCCTCGAAATATCCTCAAACAATCTCATTTTCTCCGCTATCAATCCATTTCTTACTTGTTTCGGTTTTTTGATCCCCGAGCGCGGCCAAGTCTGAAGTGCACTCTTCTCAAGTTGTGGAGTTGCGGGTGAATCATTCATAGGTGCTGGTGTCTGCTGGCGCTTTTGGATTGCTATCTTCTCTGTGGATTCTAAGGGTAAAATAGATACTCTCTGCATGATCGTCTCTGAAAGCACATTTTTCCTCGGCGAGGAAGCAAACTCGGAAGATTTGGGACTTACTCGTTTCTGTTCTTGAGTAGGGAGAGGAAGAGAATGTTGAGGAGTATCAGGATCAGGAACACTTTTCCTACGAACGGGCGATGAGAAAACAGGAGGTGGTGGTGCAGGCGGAGGAATAGGGATAATTGCAGGATCCTCTCCTTCTTTGACTGGAGACACAATTCTTGGTCCTGCATCTCGTGATGCAGAACCAGGCAACACGGTTCCGGCAAATGATGCACCACCATCAAACCTCATTCTCATATCCGCAACTTTCGATTTTGATCGAAAAGACGACGTATCCTTTATCCGCTGAGGTTGTCTCACATCATCTTTCTCGACATTTCTCGGCATAGGAGGCACTGCATAGTTTTCTTGAAGAACAATTTTAGCATCTTGACCTTCAGTTCTCCGGGCTTCGTTCTTAGCTTGATAGATAGCTTCGATTTTCTCGCTAATTTGGCTCCGTCGCTTATCAACATCTTTTTGTATACCTGTTTTGGGATCCTTACGACCGGGGATCGTTCGTCCTCTTGGGCGGGAGATTCTAGGGAGAGAGGGACCGCGGGTGGGGGTAGCGTTGGTTTCGTAGCGGGCTAGAGAACTTCCGCGTGAATTGATGTCTACTGGTGATGGCAGTTAGTTAGGAATTACAAGGATCTTGGCTGGGTATCTCGAGAAATCTGTTCATAACAATCAACATACCTTTAGTTTCTGATTTCAATCTCTTGAATCCCTGCGGTCTCGCCGGAGAGGTATGAGGCGAAACCGTATTCGAAGACCTTGTCTTTTCCGAACTTCCTTGAGAAGCCAAGAAAGGATTCTGAACTGCTTCTCCAAAAACATTGCGTTGTTTTCTGTGAGTTACTGGTGTATATTGCGCTTTTTGTGCTGAAGATATTGTAGTAATCTTGTCTTTAGCCACTTCAGATGTTCTAGAGAAGTTTGTCGAGCCTCTCATTGTTGATTTGAAGGTTGGTGTTTCGATAGCGGTAGTGTAGGAAGTTGAGGGAGATTCATTATTCCGATAGACATGGTGAGCTGGAGTAAATAAAGATGGGACAGTTTTTGGAGGACTTGATTTTGTGGGGCTCGAGGGAAGTTTCTCGTCTGGACTTCCGTCGAAGAAGCGTATTCGGTCTTTAATCATGTTTCCAATTTTCTTGTTTGGAGACTTTTTCGGGAGTGTATAGGCTGGAGTTTCGGGGTTTTTACCACTCAAATTCTTCGAAGTCGATCTCGAGGAAACCATCCGATTTTCACTCTTCGACGGTGTCCTTATAGCTTTTGCCGGCTGCTGTGGAGTTCTCAGTCGTCTCGATTGAAATTGCCTTTTCTGAGATCGGAGAAGTGTCGATTTAGTACTACTAGGCGCCTCTCCCCATTTTTTATTTCTCATGTATTCCTCGATAAATACATCGCCATCTCTAGACTTATTCCTACTAGTCGGACTTAAGATGGTGGATAATCTTTTCTGTGAAGAATCTCGTGACCTGCTTCCTTTTCGAGAGGAGTTTCGTGCTGAGTGTAATGGTGCAGGTTGGAGTGTGAAATCTTGTATGGGAAGACTCAAAGCGTCCATGGCTTCGAATTTACCAACTAGACATCGAAGGGATGATTTTACGACTGGTTTCGAGCTGAGAAATGTATGTCGTTAGTACTTATTGAAATGGTATAGAGGATACTAGACCCGTTGACTTATATAAACCAACGTGTCTAAGAAGCCTTACAGATGGAAGGTTTTTTTATCCCTAATACTCTGCCCACTATCAGGAGTAGTCTGGCCATCTAGGGAAGAAGCTTTGGATCTTGATCTCACAGCGGTAGATCTCTTAGCATTGGAGCGAACACTATTATGGCCATAAATGCTACGACCACGTCCCCATGATCCATGGTAAGCCATATTTGCCACATCCACTGTCCCTGTAAATACTGCAAGTCAAAATCAAATAGCAAGGAATACTATGTATGATATGATCAATGGCGTAAGCAGTGAAATAGTTATGCTCTATGAAAAGGCAGCTGAACAAATGACGATATGAAGTTGTGATGTTATTTGGTGTATCTATTCAGGAGTCAATACCTTGAGTTGACGAGAAATACTCCTTCCATTTATGATGCGATGTCACTATGGACTAGAAATAGCGGTTGGCACTTGCCAAAGTAATCAAAATTGGAAGATATGTCATTCTCTTGAAGGAAATTTTAAAGTCTGATAATGATCCTATTCTCAAGAGACCAATAAGTTAACACCATCCATTTCTATGCCTAAATACAATTGAAGAAGAAATTTCAATGTCCGATTCGCTTCACACCTGTGCTAATTCTCTTAATCACTGCTCATTACCACCGGATCTCCAGATATCACCTTTGTTGCACTGTCCAATCAATTCTCCTGACCGACTCAGGGGTATCTATTATGCGTAACTGTACTTAAATCCACTCAAGCTTTCTGAACACCATACGATTTATCAATGCGGACACCCATGGCTTCGAGATCCATTTCCGTGCTATCTCTCGGGGCATGGTTTGCCTGGTTATTTTCAACAATACAGTCGATTGTGGTAACTTGGTCCATGGCATTACTGCCTTTCCTCAGCATGGTGGCATTACTTCCTTTTCTAGATGTAAAATCGAGGCGAGAGGATTGTGCCGTGGTATCACTGGCATATGTCTTTCGTGAGAAATTTCCGCTTTGTGAACCTTGCATGGTGCGTGAGCCAGTAAGGTTTAATACGTCGATAGTAGATGTCTCCTCGTCTGTTGCCATGCCGGCCCAAAGTGAAGATATGGGAAGTAAAAGGGCGACCGATGTAAGGGCAATAGTGCCTGCTTCTGGAAATGAAACTGGTGTTACATATTCGAGGATAGCAAAGATAGCTGTTCAATATTAGCTTACATTCTCATCGGATCATGGGTTTCAATCCTCACAGGGTATGACCATAGTGCAACCACCCATAGCAGCAAGAATTCGCACGGCACTCCATTGTCTCCATCCGTTTCTTCGGCGATTGTAGAGAGTCCATACTAGTTTTCCAGTGAATATGAGAGAAAAGAACCATATCGAGATTGTCTCCGTTACAAGGGTTCCTTTGACTAGCCATTGCATCGGCACGGACGAAGCAGATGTTGCTAGGATAGCCACGGAATTGACGACTGTTGCGGCGAACCTAAAACCAATTGCTAGTAGCGCGACGGTAGCAGAGAGTGTGGCGAGGATAATTCGACGTATATTATCCAAGTTTTTACAAACAGTGTGAGCTTGAAGATATAAAGACATGTTGACTGTAATTGTCATACAAAGAGGAATGACACTCCCAGCAACGCTAGAAGCATACGAAGATCGTGGCACCCTGCTAAAATCAAACGTGAAGGCGGCGTAGAAGTCATTGAAGCCTTGAAGAAAATAGATGGCATAGAGCATAGCGCGAAGGAACCCGAAAATGAGTGAGAGAACATTGAGGACAAAAAGGAGAGACTTGCCTTTGGCAGCCTTGGTAAGGACGACGACGACGAAGAACATCAATAAGCAAGCTCCAGCTTGAGCACCATAATTGATACAACTAGCCACGTTGTAGTAGTAAAAAAAGTCGATGTCGAGTGGGGTGATAGACACTGTTGCAACGCCATCTGCCATGAGAATGATGATGCTCTGGGTGAGTGGATCGAAGTTCGAACTATTGGAAGCCATCTTTGCTTTGTATATTTCTAGAGCGTGGTGAATCGTCGGTATGATAAGGTGTCAATGTAGTAGGTGTATTGAAGGAGTGATGTAGAAGGCAGTCCAGTCTATTTACCTAGCAAAGATAGCTATGATAAAATAATCAAGATACTGTCACTCTGGTGTGGAACTTTCGAAGATACTGAAGGTTGACGTTGACACGCTGGCTGTAGGAGGGGAGGGGAGTTTATATTCAAAATGTCTCTGGAAATCCTTGAGCTGCCTAAAAGATCACAAGTCGTGCTCGTAACGATACTGTCTCTAATAAATAGCAAGTGCATTACTTTACTATAAAATTGTGGATATGAAGCAAATCTGACGAGGATCAAGGTCTTGATAACATCACAGTCAATATCACAGTTAAGAACAATGGAGCTCTCCTTAGTATTGTTCGATGTTACCAAAATAGACCACACTAACACAAGATTCTGAGCACCAAAGAATAACAGAAATTTGAATACAAGATGAATCAAGAATTGGTCGTTCACAGTTGACTTTGACCTTAACTACTTAATTAAGATCAATAGAAAACGGAAATATGACTCAAGAGCATTAAAACTTCAACGCAATTCAGAAATATGAGTACATGATGTTTGTGGCGGGTGCTCTTAGTATTGTACGCGATACCTTCATATTATTGTTGTAGGCGAGCCACATAGAGCCACATGAGATATTGAGCAAAGGGAGTGACTTTAGGGGATATGTAATAACGGGGGGATGTGGAACGGGTCATCGCTAGGCAAGTAACAGGATAACATCATTTCAAACTTCGTGTCACAGATGAATCAAGATGATAATGATGCTGTGCTCGACATAACATATAATCAGGTGAAGTTATCGCAATTGACTGTCGAGAAAATTGCAAAGTTGTGAGACAAAAATATGCCAAGATTCTAAATTTGGCGTGGAGTTCACGTGCTCGAGAGTTGTGTCAACATTCTTTCGCGGGCCAATTCAGTGCATCGAAGCCTCACAGCTGATCTGATTTTGTGTATCAATCAATCTGTATGCATAGATAACACTTCTGCATCTTACCGTTATTGACATAACACAACTTCTTGAAAGATCAATCTAATATGTCGAGCTCAAGCTATCCACCATCCAAACCGGAAAGCTGCCGAAAAATCCATGTGTAAGATATCGGTAACTTGCAGAGCGGGTAGGACGAGTATGTCAGAGGCACGCATCCGATTCGGAACGCTTTCCTTTCTCTACCTTGATTTGGAAAAAAAAGATTGACTCCGACCGGATGAGACCCGAGTTTCCCATTTTTGGCTTTGTGAAATATGGATGCATACTTTATGGATATCAAAATTACGGTGGTCAACGTACGTCGGTTCCAAAAAAGTCACACTGTAATACCGCAAGCTTCCCTGGATGACTTCTTTCCAAAATTTATCCGATAATCAGAGATAACGGTACCTACCTACTGAAGTGTTCGTGACTGTGTACCGAACGTTCTTCTTCTGCGTTCATCATATATTTCTTTCCGTATCGCCCTTCCAAGACATAAAAGATCTAACCTAGCCTTCCAACTGCGCTGGGGCTTGCTATAAGATTTTTAATGAAAGAAACGGATATTTTTTTGAGTATTTTGTGACATTGCTGTTTTGGGAGATGATGTTATGGGGTAAATCTCATATTGATGGATAGATATAAGCGATGCATTTAAGTGGCCCAAATGCTGTCTTGGTATTGAACTCTTTCAACGTGGGACGGATTTCTTGGTATGCGATTGGTTCCGTGTCTATGTTCTGTGGAATATTCATCTGGCTATCACATTGATGATTGAAGATTCTGATGTGTATGTAAATGATCTGAACCTTCTTGAGATCCATGCAAAAACCCCAAAATACTGCGAATGTTGGCGAGAAAGAAGCTCAAAGCTGTGTAGCTTGAAAGTTTAATCAAATCACAATAAGAAGCAAGAAGGGAAAAAGTATTTTGATCAGCATAATTAAGATTTAAATAATGAGCGTGCTCAGCATCTATGAAAGGACTTTATGTGTATAAGGAAAGTATAAGTCAATTCGGCATCACAATATCTATAGGACCACCCCTCTTCCAACTCTGAAGAAGAAATCGCAGATCTCATTCTCCATCGCCAGCAAGAGTCCACCACAATACAAAAGAAATTTATAACACAAAGGGAATTCCGAGCCATGCATCAACCAATAATAACCATTAATCGTATAACTTGTTCCATCTCCATACCACTTCGGGTGCATTACCCGCTATCGACCATCGCTAGCATACTGAAGATGCTTACTCGGACTCGGTAGCAAGAGCACGGGCAAAGCGGCGCTTGCTGAGGTTGTACTCAATCGCACGCTTCTTGGCACCAGCGGATTGGGTGAAAGCAACGGATCCACCGAAAGGACCAGCGAGAGCGCTGTTCTGGACCTTGGCGACACAGACGTTGGAGGCGCCACCGACAGAGCCGGAGCAAGTCATACCAGCTGGCATTTGAACAGCCATTTGGAAATCGGTGGTTTGAGCGGCGGAAAGACCACCGATACCGATACCAGGAACGTTCTGGGTAACTGCAGCCTTCTTGAAAGCAGCTGGGTCAGTTCCACCGGAAGTGGCGTCGACCATTGCGGTCAATGGTCCAGCACCATCTTGGTTGACTTGATGGAAGGTCATCTTGACGGTTCCGTCATCAGCGCAGGTTGGCATACCAGCTGTGGCACCGGCACCCATAGCGGCCTTGACACCGGTCTCTGAAGTGCCGGATGGAGTCTTGGCACCACCATCAGCGGCGCGGACAACGAGGGAGCGTCGGTGCATGCTGGCAGCGTGAATCTCACGAGCTGCAACAGCGGCGGTGCTGTTGGCATCACCTCCCATGAACATAGAGATCATCTTGGCAGCGCTGACTGGACCAGTGGCAGTGCGACCAAGAGCAGAAGCCTTGGAAGTACCCATCTCATTGGCTCTGATGATGGAGGTATCAGCCTCAGATCCGCAACCTGGGGTTGGGCAATCACGAGGAGTTCCATCGGCGACTAGATAAATAAGTTAATAGGATGAAGCTAAGAAAGAAGGAGAAGAGAAAGCATACCAGAGAGAGCTGGCATGTTAACACCGTTGGCACCCTGGACTTCAGTGACGACACCGTGGGCGAGGACGTTGGTGGCAGCGAAGGCCAAAAGAAGGATTGATGATGTATATTGCATTTTGAAGGTAGTTGGTTGGTTGGTTGGTTGGTTGGTTGGTTGATTGGTTATAAAGTTGAAGAACTTGGAATTTATTAAAGGATTGTTTGTGTAATTAAATTTAAAGCGACCGGCGCAAGATGGAAAGATTGTAAGATAAAGTGAAGTGAAGAAAAGATGCTGAAGAATGCTGATGATGAAAAAAAAGATATTACACTGGGAGAACGAACGTTCTTTATACAAAAATCCACTACTGCCAGAAGTCAAAAAGCTTGGTTGAATGAAAAAGACCGGATGCCCAGCAAGGAACTGCATTGGTGTGCTTGGCCATATTCTCTCCATAAACGTTTCAAAAACATACATCTAACCAAGAGGTTTGGTGATACTACTCCGAGACGTCAAAGATCTGACCACGAATCGTTACTGCAGTCATGACTTGGTAAGGACCTAGATTCTTTAGGGCCTTGATCTGCGATTCTTCCATACAGAGCAACTAAGACTAAGGTCGGAATCTTTTCGAGAGACCTAACAATGTCAAGAATAACCAATGACAAAACAAGATGTTTCTTGGTCGATCATGCAATACTGGGGCGTGAGATTACCTGGGGACGATCTCGAATCTCATGTAGATGAGCCTCTCGGATCTTTCATCTTTGCTTCTCCAACCCTAAGGCTGATGCTTTGAGTGTTTGGACTTTGCTCCTTCCTAGAATTAAACGACTAATATCGGTATTCGGAAGTGGCGATTGGCTTCTTACCTGTTTCGAGTAGGCAAGGTCATAGAAGTTAAGCTTGTTTCGACATCATAGTCAGCTCCCGGGATATGAACAATGCCCAACTTCTATAAACACCGATAATGAAAACCAGCCTCAAAATCGCAGCAATAGCCTCAAAAGTCTTAGCAGCCGCAGATGCTCAAAATCTCCTGAAGGCCGTGCGGTTGTCTGGGAACATGCAACTTTAAAATTATGAATCTCCAATGGCCGTGGGTTTCTTCACAAGGAACAAATATAGTGGGGAAACCTGTTCGCAGGCCTAGCCTAGACTGGAACTGTTGGCGATAAACCCCAAACTTTTGGAAACACTCCTCTGTAGCAAATTTCAAATCAGCCACAAGAGTTTGACCTTCAGCTACTTCACCATCGCAGCTTCTTACGAGAACACTCATTCTGTGACGATATCGTCAATGTAGCCACTAGCACCCGTGTACGAAATGATGTTTTGTACATGTCATAGAGTACCCTCTCGTCCCAAGTTCCAACTGTTCAGTCTCAATGTCTTCCAATACTGACTGCTGTGCCTCAGACGACTTCAAACATCTCCGTTCATGCTTCATTAAGCAACTCAAAGTTTCTTTCTGGATTCTTTGATTCCGGTCAATATGATCTAAATCATTTCTGATGGCATCGATTGTAAACAAAGCAAACAATGTAAACAATGAACTTTTGCTGAGATACGGAAACATCGTCATACTGTGTTTCTTTGGCGGTGTGGTGTGGTGTTTCATTTCGAGGTTCCAGCCTCTACGAAACCTGAAAAGGAAATTAGGACGGAGCTGGAGTCTGTGGTAGCATTAGCTTAGCACGTGACTGGTAATCTTCCGCTTTGACATTACCGGCACTTCACCATCGACTGCACTTCTTTAAGAGCGTAGTAAAAGGCAAACAATTGCCTCCATATGGAAATTTTTGAATTTATTCTTCCTGTTGCCCATATTTTTCTGATGGTTTTAATCTTTTTCATCCGGCTTATAGGACAAAACCGAATCCCATTGTCATTTTGAAATGGCTTGTCTTTTGCAATAACTTTTACACGAGCTTCCCTTGAATGAATGAATCACCATCCAAACGGGACTTCCTCGAAGCTTCCCTCGAAGCTTCCCTCGAAGCCTCCCTCAACATAGTTTTTTCGCCATCCATATTGCATACTACCGCGTGTATGGCAGCAATCACGAGATCCTTGTGTATCCTACGTACGTATAACCTTATCGGCAGCATCAGGATTCTTTGAGCAAGCACCAAACTTACTCAATCCGAAAGAGTGCGTATGCAAGGCAACTCGTATTCGTCCTGAAGAGTTCATCAGTGATTAACACGGTACTACTGCCTCGAGAGGATTTCTTCATCATTTCTTCATCAATGTGTAAATGTAGGTGAATGACCTTTAGTGATTAGCCTCCATAGTACAAGTGCTTTATATTTTTCCTAATTGATTCAAATTCCTTTAATTGAAATGCAACCATGGCCTTTTGTATCCTTTCTTTGATTTGAGTAAATATAAAGAGTGATTAGGAATACATAATAAAAGTTAAAAGTGTTCGAGTTTCCCATATATCCGAGTTCATCATAAGCCAAATTACGATGACCTACGAAAACGAAAGCCTTCTTCACTACTGACAGATGACGGCCTGACGCCAGCTTATGAGCACAGTTCAAAGCATCATCTTAGACGGTATCACAGCTTGTCGCTCTCGGTCACCATAAACGAGGTAAAGTCTCTGAAGATTACCAATGTCTACCGACACCTATTTGCAACGATCATCACTCACAGTCTTCTCTGACTCCCTCTCTTGTAGAACCGGCATCAACCGCCGAATATCAGGAGTGCCCTTTTCAAAGATTTCTTGAACGTGCCAGGAGGATGACCCGGACGACTCTGAGGACGATGACTTTGCTTGTTCTAACATTGAGGATGACTCTCGACCTGCGAAGCAATAGAAGTAGCTCTTATCATTTCTTTTGGATGAGAGGGACGATGAAGATGTGCGGCCTGTGAAACGAAGAAGCGATCCACAGTATCTATAACGGAACTTTTTACATTTCCGTCTTCAACTGCTTCACAGAATGATATATATTGACTACAGCCTTCTAAGAGTCCAATCTCAAAAGTAAACAATATGCTAGCTACTTAATATTGTGAATTTCTTATTGTATGATTTCTTAAACATATGATAATTGGCGCCGATACGCCATATACACACACACTCAAAATAAATTTACTACACACACCAGAGAGTCTTACTATCATGTTATCATTTCACGAGTCGGGCGATGTGGACAGGGAGGTATTTAGGGAGCTGGTAGTGGTTCCTGATATACATGCTCTAAGAGAAACGAGTAGATTACCCCGCAAACACGGAGCTGCAAGCAGCCTAGAAGAAGACTTCATAGATGGGCAATAAAAGCTACTATTCAAGCTCGTTGTTCGCAAAAACAAATCTTGGGAGGAGATCAGGTGGTATTTTCCATGCTTTACATTGCAGTCATTGAAGGAAAACTGCAAGAAGCGGGGCGGTGCACCTCGAAAGCGGGGGCACAGGTCTAGCGTAAAGTGGTGGTCTCCCAAATAGTAATATTCAAGTTCTTACGGCCATGAGCATATTAAGATTCGCGAAACTTAGCTGGGCTGGGAAGCCTCTCGGTTAGCTGACTGCCAACTGCATTCTTTACATGATTGCATTTCCTAGGCATTGAGCCAACGGTTACACGATCTGAAATATCATACATATATTATGGTTTATGTTCCTGCGAGACTGATGATTGACAGATCTTTCCGGTTAAATTTCCGATTGCATTTACCAGAGATTGAAGAAAAAGGCACCGTCTAAGCAACCTAAGACAAGACATGAATCTTGATACTTTTGTATGCTTGCATATTATTTTCTTCTAAACATTACGTTAAGTTCTTCGGGGAATGAACAGGTGCAAATCTGAGATAGTATCACGGGGTTTTTAAGAAACGGTATATATTGTGTTGCATACTTTTATACTCCACAAATTGTTTACATATCTACTCACTGGCATCTGAGGTGGTATTTTCGGGAGATCGAAGTTGATGGAAGTAGTACAAATTATCTAAACATGGCGTATATCAAGTTTCTTGTATGCTTACATATTTGGCCAATCAACTCTTAAGGTCTATTCATTAACATACTAGATTGTATTCTTGGGAGATCGAAGTTGTAGAAGTGGTACAGGTTATCAAAGCAAGGCGTATATCATTTTACTTGTATCCTTACATACTTGGCCAATAGACTCTCATGCACTAATTTACTCGGTTACGTTCTCTGAAGATAATTTCAGGAGAAAGCCAAAATAGCGGCACAGGAAACCTTAGACATGCATGATGTGTAGAACGCTTACTAGATATGTTAGATCACCTGTGGACGCTAGATCTGTGAATATGATAGAGATAGCTGTGGTTAAACAGAAAAAGTGGCTTCTGAAAGCCGGGCTAATAGGTGAATTCTCAGTAACTTCTGAAATTTTGAAAGGCCAGGTTCTTGCATCCATCACTCGGATCTGGCTCACAACCCCGCACTTACAGAATCCAGAGCTTTGTGGGCAGGAAATCCCGCCTGAACCCCGTTGAAGTATTGTTACGCATCAATTTATATGTTGTAAAGGGTTGGGTCGAGGTGTATCAAAATTACTCTACTAGTCATCAAAATGAATATGTGTCAAAGTTGCACTGGCAGCTGAACACATGGGCAAGGGATTGGGTAGGAAAGATATTCCTTACAAATATTTTGCCCAATCTGTACCAAGGTAATTGCAGTATGTAGAGGACTAACTCGAATATATAAAAGCCGCCTTTCCTGAAGACTGACAGTTGAATTCCGCACAACATTTTCCTCTATTCTATACTACCAACTAGCTCTTCACAACGCAATTCTCTATTCTATACTATCACCTATCTCTGCACTAGATAGCAACTCGAAATGGCTAGACTTTTTCTATTCACTTTACTTGCGTTCGGTAAGTTCACTCTCTGCTTATGACCAACAAGTTTAAAATCTCTGACTGATTTTTGACATAGGTATCACCACGTTCGCAACGCATCTTTCAACCCGCTAAAACAGCGTCTGCGCGAACTGGTGTGCAGCCAATTTCGCAAGTCCCGGATCTTGTACATCACAAGCCGCCCACGGGACAGGGCCATGCTATACCTGTGGTCCTCTTGCGGCCAGCCCTGCGCAAGCCCTGTGCAGTGGCACATGTGTTGATACTAGTACCAGCAGTGCCAACTGTGGATCATATGGCAATTCAGTACGTATCGTCTTAGCCTTGAGTCTTCACATTGCTCTCTAATTTCACTAACACTATAGTGTTTAAAGTGTAAGAGTGCAGAGTGTGTAAACGATATTTGCGCCCCAGCCTGCCCTTCTGGGAAAATACTGTGTAATGATGTTTGCGTCGACACTCAGAATGACAAAAATAACTGTGGAAGCTGTGGCTTTGTGGTATGTTTTACCTTGCTTTTGTGTACTTAAAAGCTCTTCGGATCTTGCTAACATTTTTGAAGTGTCCTCACCCATGCCCCAGCGGAACAACACCCTTGATATTTTGCCAACAAGGAACCTGTGGTTATGGGCCAGTGCAGCAAAGCAGGCTTGTTACCAAGAAGGATTAGATACGAATATGTTTAATTATCATGATATGACGCTTGGCAATTCCTGGCAAGACTTAGAGTTTCTGTTATTGGTTTTACTGTTATGATATAACACTCAGCCAATCCTGGCAATTCTTACTGTTTCTGTTATCAGTTTTACTGTTTCTGTGCTACGACCTGAGCAAAACATATGGCATCATGAGTTCCTAACATGGATGGGCCATCACTGAGCCTAAGGTCCCCATAGTCATATGTTCTAACTGTCCTACTGAATCCTACCGGTCCCATTAGGAATATGGAAGTGGGGCATGATGGTAGCGATGAGACAATAAGGGACGAAGGTCTATATAAGCAGAATATATTTCCCCGGTATATGGCGCTTTTGTGTTGAACTCAAATAGCAATTCTATTGCTTATTTACTACTGTCTGAAATCACCAGTTCAATTTCTGTGACGAAAAAGTAGATGTGTATCCAGGATCTGATGAAGGGAAATTTAAGAATCAAGTGGAAGATTGATCGCTAGGAGTGATAAAAAGACGGAAAGATAGTTTATTTCTTGATCATCAGCCGCACTCTTCGCGAATTGATACCCAAAACGTGGATTTATAAATCAATACGTTAGCTCCTCATCTCTAAGAATAACAGAAATGTGAAGCATGCAAATTTCTCTTTTTATCTGGCATAGCCAATATTATGGAGCAAAGAAAGAGAAATAATGCAATCATTAACAGTATATTTGTATCTATCAGCTACATCCCATCTTCACACTGCATTATGCTATTCACCACACCTCTATTATCCACTCCCGCTCCTTCTTACTACCCCTCATCTCAAGACAAAGGTCATGTCTACAAGCAAGTTATAATCCACCCAAGCCTCCGACAACAATATCAGGCAGATGAAGGCCTTGCTTCTGTCGCTTATTGATGCATTGTAATATACTTAGCGAGAGGGCTTGCCTTATTACAATCCTTATATAATTACTTTCTCCACAAATAGCTAGCTCCTTAGACTGAATATAATACTAATAATTAGGACCTATATCATAGATACTGTATCATCTATAATCTTCTCATATGAATAGTCACTATTTGTAATACTCAAATGACTACAACTCAATATCATCGGAAGCTCAGATGTAGAAGTGTGTACGGAACTTTGAGTTTTAAGTATTTTACATTTTCTTCTTGAATGACAGAGGGTATAAAGTAAATTCCTTCACAATGATTATTGGTTAGAATACACTCTATCCATTGTACTAAACAAAACATTAACCTTTAAGTTGTAGAACAAGTAATGTAGTCGATAAAAGTCAAATAAATAAAGGAGACTTCTCACCACATAACTCTCTACATCACTCACATAACTGCCCCCCCTCTTCCCCTTACTCCCAATCAAGTTTTCCAACAAATTTTTTTCAACCCAAACTGAAAAATGTGGGAATGAACAGAATGAATACTGTTGATTACTACAGAAAATGAATGACTCAAAAATCAGAAGTAAGAAAATTTATATCACGTGGAATATTGATCACATAACCTTAACTCGACCCCTCTACCTTTCCTTATCCAAAAAGAAGAAAGCATGCTTCCATTCAATATATTTGAAAAACTATATCAGTCAAATTCCTACTAAAGGAAACCCAAACAAATAATCTTGTGGTTGATATCCAATCAAAAATATAGGAAAATAAATTCTGACCATAACGTTCCGCATGCACTTGCATACCCAGAACTATATCCTTTCTAAAAGGCAGTTGTATCTCCACCTCGAGTAGTTATTTATCCAGCATCATAATCCATGGACTGACTACCCATGAATGGAGATATATGCGATAGGTACCCCATACGAGACAGATCAATGCCTCACCATCTCAAGGGTCAATACTGTCCCGCTTTCCCAAGGACATATTGCGACACATTGCTGCCGGGTGTAGTTGAATTTCACTAGAAGACAATAGGTGGATTTCCGACGGTAAGCTGTGAACGGGACTTCCCGAAACATAAAGATAAAGGATGATGAGTATACTGATCCTTTTCGATCGGTACCTACTATCTATATGATAAGTAGTAGTGGCTCCTACAAGATTCGGTAATCCGCGAGACAAGTCGAAGGATTAATGTTCAAGGGGTGTCCTCACGTGACACAATTCCTTCCGAATCCCGAAAAGGAATTATTTCGCGGTATGGCTCGCGGAGAGGCAAATTTTGATGAGATTGATGGCGAATTGACGTTCTCCGAGATCTTGAGCATCGTATCCTAATGCTTATATAATGCCCCTTTAAGGAATCTGGTAGTACGAAATACGTACGCATATGAGGTACGAAGACGATGTGTATAAATCAGTCGATAGATTCCCCGAGATTGCATGTCTCTTCAGCCGATGACGGTCCGATGCCACCGTGCCTACCAGTTCAATGGTCCGTTTTCTACATGACACTTGATGGAATAAACAAGCGACATATGCAATATGTAGAGAGCCGCATGACATGACCGGCTGAGCTTGATAAAGTTCCAATCCTGTCGATCTTTGCATAATCTACGATGATTGAAGAGGTATATAATATAAAACGCACCTCAATGTGTCCCTACTTTAGATTTTTGAATGAATCAAATCGCATCATTAGTTGAAAATTTATATAATAGACTCTAGGTAATAGAAGTACTATAAAAACTATATTATATTCATATTTTATTCAAAATCAATATTATTTTATTGTCTTCTAATTCGAAATCCTATTTAAAGTCTATTTAGAATTCATAGGGAATTTTAAATACTTTAGATACTATAAAATTATTAAAGTTAATAAAAAGCAAGTAAAAGCTTTAGATATTAAATTTTAAGAATAAATAATTTATTACCTATTTGATTCATTTAAAGCAATAATAAATTCTATAAAAACAATAAGATTTTAGTAAGAGTAGGGTTTATATTATTTACTTATAATCTCTATAGAATTGATAGTGTTATAATAAGTAAAGATAAAGCGTTTTTAGAACATTCAAAGTAATTTCAGGTTAAGAGATAGTTACATTGATGGCGACATACTGATCTAATCGGTCCCTTCATACTAACGTTTATTAATTGTTAGATCCGCCGAAAGTAACCCCAGAAAGGGCCAGAAAGGCCTCAGCGAGTGATCAACCATTGATACCGACCTTGGCATACCTGAGCCGGTTTGAAGGTGGTATTTCCTCCAAATCTATGATTGCATTATTGTAGCCGCGTTTCCCTGTTAAAGTCCATCTGTTAACGCCAACCCCTTCATCTATGCATTCGCGTATTTCGTACTAACCATCAATGCCGTCCCCAACTCATCTACCCAAATAAACAGACCTTATTGTTACTTTGAAAGCCGCCTCATCGGACGATTATGATGACTATGGCTGGTTGGAACTTTTTAGAGAACATGAAATCCCGCCTTTCCACTTTTTAATTGCAAGGAACCTCCCTACTGCATTGTTTATGAAAGGTAAATCAACTTGGTATATCGGCTCCAAACTCGTAAAATATAGAAGCATTCATTAAGAAACGTATCCGCTGTGCGTATTCAGCTGAAAGATACCCACAAGGCAATTAATTGGAACCAATCAGTGACCCTTAACTGCAATTACCCGAAGCGCTATCCCGAAGGCGTCGTAAAAATGAAGGATAGTGTCGACTACCGAAGATGATGTGAGCTGAACTCGAAATCAATCTTGTTCCATCTTCACCACAAACTGAATATTACGACCAAGAGAATTATGAGTAAGGATAATGGGTGTACGTAGGAAGTAGAACGTATTCAATTTGGGCAACATACTACCCACACGACCTTATTTCCTTCTACATCACCCAGGAATTCCCACGAGTGAGCGTTAGAAGGCTTTCTTATGTTGCGTACAAGATGGAACATTGTATTGGTTCCTAGATAAATAGATCCTTTGGACCTGGATCAATCTCACCCATCTATCGATAATTGACGGGGTAACTGCAATGCCAGTACCACACGCACGCATTGCATGGCGCTCTACAGGGTCCATAATGGACAAGAACTCAAGAAAATAGTTAATACTAGGGCTTGGCATGGGTCTTTCACCAGGCCTACTTCCCAACTACGGATATTCACCAAGACACTATGACAATTCCCAACCTTTACCATCGTATCTCATTGCATTACCTGCTATATTACATGGAGGCAGACATTCACCGGTCAACGAAATCACAATCCCATAAACATCACCAACTGTCCGATTGTTGGTTCTAACGCCGAGCTTACGTTTTGTACGTACAATAACCCTATTGTGCAACATATCACTACCAGCCCAGCAGATTTACAATCCAGCGACCGTCGTCTCATCCATCCATCTCATCCCATCATTGATATGAGAATTGGTGCGAAATACGGCGGCACAATCAGCCGCGTTTGTTGACGTTTAATTGCTCATCTGATTCACATTTCTCTTAGGATGATGAATAATGAATGGTATGCTATGCGCTGCGATAACACAGTGGTACATCAGGTAAGCAAGGAATGGTGCCTATGTACAGTGAAGTATCGAGCCATGTGCTTTTAAGTGCTCCAAGCCCATTTATTCCTACTAAGTACAATTCACACGAAATCTGAGACGAGTAAATCGCCGAGAATTGCCAGATTTTGCCAGTTTAGTGTATTGTGACGGTCAATCGTGGGATGAGGGGAGCTGTATAAACTCCTGCCTTTACCGTAATCAGATAGTCTGGCCATAGAAATGTTGGAACACTAAGCGGGAGATCGCTCCACAGGATTCGTGAAAGGATTCGAAGGAAATCTAGCCTTGTAGTCTGTAGGTACAGTAGCACCTCCGGGCAGCCTTACGAGTGGAACCCCTTCCTACCATTCTTTGGCTTACTGGGGAGGCTTCTCCGTGTGACTTTTCTGACGGTGATGAGGTCCTGGTCAGAAGGTTGGAAGGTGGAGATGTGGATTAGGTACAAGTTGATAGATAGATATATTTTTCAACAAGGTATTTGGAGATATATACCTAGTATGTGTATTACCAGGTAATCATTGGGATTCTGCGGTCAATGAAATATATCGAATCCATGTCTAACCCTATACCAAAGCAGAAGAGAAAAAAGGAAAAGAATTAAAAGAAAAACATGGCAATCGCAACGTGGTAACGAACTAATCTACAAAGCATCTAGTAAGAACAGCCGAAATTTGCCCTCTCCCCAAATTTCTTACCCAGTTGGGCTGAAGCAAGACCTTACTAGGATTATAGTGGGGTGTTTTGCATAACCCGGAAACAGGGTTGGAGGTCTCGACATATCCTTTAAGCCTGACAAGGATCCTCTAAAGCATTCCACCAGAAAGCTCCATTCATACGCCCCCCATCTAATCTGGTCATGTATCGCATTGCCTCCTCATCATTATACTATACTAAAGCTAAAAAGGGCAAAAAGGAAATATCTCCCGAGTGGTTTGAACTTACTTGCATGTCCCTGACAGCTCTTCCACATGGATGCCGATGGGATTTACCTTACATACACTTTACGATGCTCCTGCATGCGCGTAAGATCACTTTGCTGACATTAACTTCGGTTTGTTTTTCTTTTATTGTCCTCGATTCTACTAAGTAACCTTAGCGGAGAATCTTCTGATCCATTATTCCATATCGAGGTAACCGGTTCCAATTTCTACTTAAGCCGCCTTCTCCCCAACTGTGTTTGTCCAGATGCATACCTCATCTACTTCATCACATATATAGTTGTCTAATACCCCATCTTCACCTCCTTTCATTCATCCCTCTCTCAGCCTCCAATCTTTTGTCAACACCCCGACAACAGAGAGACAACTTTACGAGAGAGATCACGAGACTCAGCTCACCATCCACCCATCATGCCCGTCGTATCTGAGCCCATTACGGGAGTAACTCACGCATATTCACATGGCTTCTTCTCCAGAATACCCACTCTCTACCTAATCCTAAGCGGATTCGTTCTTCTTTGCATCACAATCTTCATCCGGAGAAAACGCAGTTCCACAACAAAATTACAATATCATTTCCCACCAAGTCGTCCCTCTACCCCTCTTCTCGAAAAGTCCGATAGGAATCTCTTTGCTGCATTCATGGATGAAACCCCAAAATTGGATACCGACAACCTCGCACTCTCAAGAACCTCCTCGTCTTCTTTCGACTTCACCACCTCCCCCTCCTCAATCTCCAGCTCCCCCAAAACATTTTCTCGTCTCCCACCACCACCACCCCCCTTCACACCACCCTCGCCCCTCGAACCTCTCTCTTACACTCCCATTCACGGAGGGGAAAGTGAATCTGCTCCCCCCACCGAAATTCTCCACCGTCATCGTTCCTACACCAAGCCTCCCAACCCCCTCACCAACACGCCTGTCGTAAATGGCGAGATAATTTCCGGCGATGGCTGGCGTCGCCACACGCGTGTTTTTGGGGGCGGAGTATGTGAGGCATGTGCTGAGAGCGAGAGGAGAGCGAGAGGAGAATGAGCGCGTGACCATATAAGCAGGGTTTGAATAATAGTAATCTGAAGATTTCGAATGGAAATGGGGAGGTATTTCAAGGATCCTGGGAATCTGTTGCTATTGGTCAGTTTGAGAATGGGAGAATGATGGGTTTGGAAGAGGAAGGGGAGGATGGTGGCGAGCGAGAGATGAAGTGGATGAAAGTATGAGAAGATAGAGGTTGGGTTGCAATTATGGGATTGGATTGTTCATTTATGTGAAAAGAGCCGAGACTTTCAAGATTCATACGCAGATACGGGGATTATATGCAGCTGCACGATAGTAAAGGGAGTCATTTCACGTAATTTGGGAAATTAATGGGATGAAATCTTTATGACAGCCATCAACAAGAGAGTGGAAAAAAAGAAAAGGCAAGGAAAGAGCAGAAAATCGTGGCAATCATGATAAAAGAGTCGAAATGGATGGATGTGTGCATTTATCATCAATCATCTCCTAGGTATTCACGGGCGTTAATTGATAGGTCACCTGCGAAGGAGGTTTGCTTTGGATTTACTTGGATCTGCTATGGAAGGATGGATGGAAGTTATTTACTGTGTCACTAAAAATACGTTGCTGGCGAATCCATCATTGCAGCTTAAATAATTTTGTGCTGTGGATGGGTAAGGATGTATGAAGTTGATAAATGCAAATTTTCCCTCGCCACCTGGTATTCCACGTATATAAAAAGATATGTGGAGGCCGAGATTGTTGGTAGATCTAGAAGTACCAGTGCAAATGTGTTTATTATTTCGTATATGAGTAAATTTCAAGTAACACGACTTCGTAAAGATTATACTTCAATCTTGAAATATTGATATGCGCCGATCTTACACTCATCATAACTTATGCTTCTTGTTATCTAATCTGTACAATTCTTCATTCAAGACTTTGTACCACAAATGTCCTCCCCTATTCAACGCCACAAGATTTGCTTAAAGATTCTCCTCCTTAGTAATACACATTCCCGTCATATTATCCCGTAAATAAAACGCTGTGTAAGAAGTATACTATAGTAAGTTGCATAAAAGACCACACCATGCTGATGAAAACCATGCAAGTAATTTCAAAGTCCAAAATACAAAGTACCTAAAATCTACTCGATAGCGCTCTCAGATACTATCCCATTCGAGCCCATATTTGCTACACTTGAATTTCTTTGCATGGCTTCTTGGCTTTCTTTGAATTTTTGCCAACCTTCAGGATCATTCTCAATGAGTCTCTGTCGAACAATGCTAGCTTCGTTGTTCAGCTCGGCTATCACCGCATCTGGGCCTAGGGTCTCTATTTTGTTCCTGATGTCTTCGCATTGGAGGTCCTCAACCATAGACCTTAAGAATTGTAGATGTGCAGGTTGAATTTCGTGTTCTGTAGTTCCATGTAATTTGTCCTCGCCTTCTGGTTTTATGAGACTACGACGAATCTTCTGCCCAAAACGATGCATCCTGCCTTCTTCCTGTGAAAGTGCTTTGGAGGCCAATGAGACATCGGAGTTGTGACGAGATAGAGTGGGGCGAATTCCACCCTCGTCGTGCCCTCCCTCTTCATCTGAAGGTTGGTTTTCAGCCAAGATTGGTTCGGGTTCAACGTCTGATCCTTCGTAACCAGTGTGGAGTGGATATGCACTGTCCGTCATGGTTGTTCGCTCCGTTTCGGGCAATGATGGTGACAAGCGGGTCTCGGGAAATTCATCTTCAAACCTCTTGATCATATTTTGTAATGTATGATCAAGGAATAGTAATCGGTCTAATTTGCGGTCAGTTGAATCAAGGTATATTTGTAAAACAATGGATAGTTCTTACTGTAATTGTGGTGATCACTGGCCTTCGACTCCTTGACTAGAGCAGGTTGTAATCTAGCCCGAATCTTCCTGGCACTTCCCAATAGATTCTTCGACATATCCTTGGCTTTGCCACCTTTCACGGGGTTGTTCGGGGTGGCCGAACTGCTGCTTGGCCTAGATATTTCGGAGATAGCTTGATCCATTGATGGCCTCCTAGAATCATTGCCTTTGTTTCGTAAACAGATACCTAAAGCTTTAACCACACCTGTCCCGCCAATCACATAATCTTCATCAGGAGCTGGCTCATCATCATCATGATTCTCTTGGATTCCTTCCATGTGCCCCACAATGTGTAACAATACTTCGGGAACTGCAACGTCTTTTCCATTGGCAGCTCCATGGGGATCAGAGATTGCAGCAACAGCTTCACTGATTTCTGCAACTGGACCGCGTTCCATATTCCACAGACAGTAAGCAACAACTTGCTTAGCCAAGGCCCTAACAATTTCGGACGAATCGTTTGACGGAACTTCAATATCAATACATACAATTGACTGAGAGACTCGGACTGCGGCCATCAGCGAGGCATATAATGCACAAGCCTCTTCCTGACTTGCTTCGTCTTTCGCATTTGCAAGAGCAGCTAGTTGCGTATTTTCCATAAGAGTCACATGCGCAAGACTGGGGCTCTCGGGTAAGATTTCCGCAAGGGCGATGGCTTGTTCAGGAGTCATGGATACATTAGTCAAATGTATCCGCTTGAGTTGAGGCAAACGTGGTAAGTATCTGTGGTATGTCAGCCAATGATGTCCTGTACGACCGTACTGGGAGATATAATGAGAGTATATTTAGCAAAGCTGAGAAAATTATCAACTGAAGCCTTGCAGTGTAAGTTGCTGATATAAGTGACGCAAACTACTGGTCGCGGTACGAGACCGTAAAACTTTCGCAGCTATATCTGACACCGTCTTCATAAAATCAAAATGCTATTCAGCGCTTTGATGACATCTGGCAGGCCGCCTTGCGAAAGCGCTCAATCATTTCTCGGTACATGGGGTCAACGGGAAACCGTAAGGCTAGATACAACAAGGATTGATATTATGGATCACCATGTCGAACCATGCAGAGATTACTAACCTCTGCATATCATAATATTATGCGAAAATGACAGGAAAATAAAGAACATACCTGCGCAGAAGAGAAAGTGCACTGGGATTCGACTCGAACAGATCATGATTTTGCGATAAATCGATGAATCTGAAGTTCTTCAGCTTTGCCAGAGCTGGGAAAAGAGGCCACAGCGACTCCGGATTAAGGTTACAGTCTGCCAAGCTCAAGGCGTAAATTTTGTTGTTTTCATCAAGGGCATTCGCAACGATCTCCATAGAATCTTTGAGATCATTACCAACAAGATCAAGAGCTTCGCACTTGCCGAATTTTATCCATCTAGCAACATGTTCCATCCCGACAGACGTAATGCCATTACCCGCAAGACCAAGTCTTCGTAAGCCCGATTTTATAATTCCATCAACTAACCTATCTAATTGCTCGCTGTTGATGCCGCAATGGCCCAGATTCAAAAGTTCGAATTCTGGACCAGCGAGTCGATCCCCAATAGCCTTGGATAATAAGCAAGAGACTTCGTTGCTCGTGTGACTCGTGTTACTATCCGTTTTCTTTAGATGCCCAGAACCGGTCGTTGGTGTAGTAGTATCCTGGGGAAAAGGAATCCTTGACAAATCCAGAACCTTCAATGACCGGCACATATTAATAAACAGAGCGATATGCCGCCAACCATCTTTACCAATCTTGTTATTGTTTTTAAATACTAGCGATTCGATTATCCCACCCTGAGGATATTGGCCTTCTTTACGAGTGTGAGATTTTCTACCGTATGTTGGTAACTTGGCGGCCAAAAGACCAGCCAAAATGACACGAACGCCTTCATCAGTAAGTCCACAATTTTCCATTATCAGTTCTTTCACGGGGACCACAGCTAAGTAGTCTCCCAACGTGACAAGGTCTGGTAATTGTAGCCAATAACCCGAGAGATCTAATTTGGCAACAAGACCAGGTATTGCAGCCGTCGCTACCGAGGCTGTGAGCTGCTCAACAATTCTCTTTAATATTGGCGTTTCCCTTAATTGACAGCATCTTCTATAGATTCGAACAGGGTCCGTGGTAGGCGAAGCGTGGGTTTTTGGAGTAGCGGCATTGGAAGTTGGTGAGAGTGAACTGTCACTGTCGTCAATCTTCAACTCAACTGGGATTGTACCATTTGCCTCAGCAAGCCTTCGTTTCTTCTCTTTTCTTGCTTTACGCTCTTCTTCGCTACGCTTCTTCTTCTCTTTCTTTTTAGTATTGTCCTTTTCAACCGGTGGAGAGGATCCTGTAGCCTCTGGTGTATTTGCTGAGGGCTTTGGCTGAGCACTTTCGGTGAGCTTGTCATCAGGTCTGCTAACATTTGCTTTTGAAGTATCGTCCTGTTCCGTCTCGGACATAGAATTGTTCGGATTTTTCAATGCAGCGCCTTCTCCCTTTTCTTTGGAACGCTTCATCTTTTCTCTATTTTTATTATCGATATCATCGGACTCTTCCTCGTCCATGTAACGGGGACCGCTAGCTATCTCAACATCTACACAGAAAGCTACTCTTCTTAGTTTTGACTGTTCAAGCCCAGATATGGGGCATCTTTCCCGGTGATGATCGATGTTCAGAACCTTTCTCTCGCACAATCCATTGTGGCCTTTGGCTGATCCAGATAATTGCCCACCCGAAGATGACAGCCTTCGCAAGGCACTCTGTAAGAAACTGGGTCCACTCCGCGGAGGCGCTGGAACGTAAGGTGCATCGCCATCATCCTTCACCCCATGTACCAGCACCGCGTTTTTGGGCGCACTGGGTCCTGCAGGTCTTTGTACCGGAGGTTCTATAGGAGAAGCTGCCGGTGAAGTACTGGGAGATATGCTCGTATGGCTGGAAGGTGAGCCCGAGAACTTTGAGGATATGCTCGATAACCACGAGTTTCTGCGGGACATGTTGGGTGATGTAGAGGCTTTAGGTGGTGTGCCATTTGCCGTCACGATCCTTTCCGATGAGGTATTTCTAGACACGCCAGGTCGATTTGGAATCGGCTGTGGATTCGTTACAAATTCGGGTTCGTTTTCATTCTTTGGAGGGGTAGAGCCATTCTGTGGGGGCGGAC